TTTGTGTGTGTGTGTGTGTGTGTGTGTGTGTGATACTGATCACACGTCTAAACTAACATCAAATAAGTTGTGATTCGCTGTAATTGTCTTTAAAGGGAATGCAGGTGGATGAAAAAGAGAAATAAAGCATTGGTGAGGATATTAATTTAATTATTATTAATTTACTGATCAGTAATTGAACTCAAAGACTGAAAGTCTGAATTTGTGGCTTTATCTATTGAGATGATTACAGACATTGTTTATTCTCTCTCTATTATTTTTTTAATGGCAAAGGTCAATCATTCCAGTCCTCATCATGACCGGCACAAAGCTTGCAATGTTGAATTGAATGAACCTGTGTATGCAAACAAAATGGTAGGTGTTTTAGCTGAGGTTTTCCTACAAAAGACTAAACTCTCTTCACCTGTAGCCAAAGGAAATTACTGTAAACCCTCTTCAATCTCATTGTGAAAATAGCAAATGTCTTATGACTAAGTGTACGGAAATTTATATAACACAGTTCTGATTTTATTTTGTCTCTTCATTCATAAAGGTTGCTCAATGTGGCCCTGATGTTTGTAAACCTGAACTGAACTTTTCTGTTTATGAAAATATTCCAGTAATAAGAACACATACTAGATCAGGGTTCTCAACTCTGGCTCTCGAGGTCCACTTTCCTGCAGAGTTTCACTCCAATCCTAATCAAACACACCTGAACAAGCTCATCGAGCTCTGCAGGATCACTAGAAAGGTACTGGCAGTGGGTTTGGTCAAGGTTAAGTTGGAGCTGAACTCTGCAGGAAAGTGGATCTCGAAGGCCAGAGTTGAGAACCCCTGCACTAGATAATGAAAAATACACAACCTATTAACCTTTCCTGATGACTAATGTTCTTGATGCCTGTATTAAATATATCATTATTAATGTTTTCTCTTTCTTTCTTTCTGTCTGTCTTTTTCGAACTCCGCTTAAAAAGAAGAGGATGTAGTGTTTTGGACTCACAGCAAACTTTTTACAGCCTTTTCACATATTAATTTGTGGGCGGAGACCTGAATGATTGACAAGTGTGTTTGACTGATATAATTTGTGGATAATTTTATAGATAGTCGTGTGAAAATGGAAGTACAGAGTTAATTAATTGATAAAAGGGTGTAATCCCTTATGTGTTTTTCCCTTTACGCTTTATACAATGTATCATGCCTGCTGCATTTAGATTTTTAAAATATTTAATCTTATGTATCAGTATAGTTCAGATTTCCCATGAAAGGCGCCTAGTTGTGCAATTTTACAGTTTAACAAAAACTGAACAGCATTAATAGCCTATTAAACGATTTCAAGAGAAAAACACAAATTATCAAGTCAGATTATTATAATGCTTAGGCTATTATACTACACCGTATTAAACTCGCAATGTTGTTGTTGTTCTGAAGAACAACATTTCAATAAACAAGTTCTTAACTTACTTTTCTTGAGGTTAGTTCGTATTTCTTCTCTGACAATGAAAAACAGATGCCACTTTATGAGTAAATAACCGACAGACCGAAAGCCAGACTGGATCGATGTAAATTGGCGGAACGGAGCGACAGACATTCAAATTGCCCTGTAATCGGCCGCTGCAGCTCCACTCCGCATTTTCAAGTCCCCACTCCTAGCAATACTGCAGCAGGAGAAAATGTATGGCATTTTAAAAGTTTCAAAAGTAGCGCACAATGGAGCATTTCTGCACTGCGAGCGCACAGAACATTATCTGCGTGCAAAAACATGCTCTTGTGAGAACAGCGCTCCTCGCTTGACCCCCTCTACACCCTCTCAAACCCTGCTCACTCCTCAAGGTGACTTTTGAGACTTTGGAGGCGGGGATCAAGTGTCAAATGTCTCTGCTCCTGTGATTGGTCAGTCGAGCCAATGGAAGTTTGAAACGCTTGATCGTCACGTGATTCAGGTAGACTTCAAATAGTTCCAGGAAGTTCATGGAAGGCAATTGATATATTGAGTTACAGAGACAGAACTGCAATTTTTTGTCATTAGTAGACAACCCTGTTGAAAAAAAACAGCATATGCTGGTTAGGTATGTTTTGAAGCATGGCTGCTGGGTTGAGCTGGTTTAAGCTGGTCATGTGCTGGTCCTAAACTGATCCTAAGCAACTAGCTCCTGCTCAGGAGTAGCACATGACGAGCTTATGACCATCTTAAACCAGCAGCCATGCTTCAAAACATACCTAACCAGCATATGCTGTTATTTTTTCAACAGGGAATAAATGCATTTATTTACAATATTTATAAAATATATCAACATGTATATGTAGTTATATCAGTGTTGTTTTTACAAGATAAAATCTGCTAATATTTGAGGATTAATGTGGTCAACTATTGTTACCTGCCTTATTAACATGTTTTAGGCTAAAGTTACCTTGGTTAAAGACCATGTTTGCTATAGTTTTGAAATATATATATATGTCTTGTGTGCTTAAACTTGTGTTATTCAAGTGTAATCACGTATTAATGTGGCCTAATTAATCTTAATGACACAATGTTTAGTGTGTTGTCTTAAATTCATTCAAAATAAGTGAATTTTAAGATTAAATTAAGTGAAAATGAATCTTGTTTAATGTTTTCGATTCCTGTGCACCCCCTTTGTTTTTACGTGTTTAATCATATATTGTGTGTATGTTGACTTTTGTTCTGCACTTATTTACAGCAATGGATTTATACATGTATAATACAAAAGCATGTTGTCCTTGTATAGTCTCCACCATGGTTTGCTGTGCTGCATGGGAATGCATCAATCACTCACAGATAGTGTGAATGTATGGTTTCCCTACTGACGATATTAAATGACGTTAATTCACATTTATTTGTATAGCACTTTTTACTATACACAAAGTTTCAAAGCAGCTTTACCAAAAATTGTGCATTGTTTTGTATGTTTATTCAGAGTTGGCATCATCCGAAATCCTCTCAATGGTTGGTGTCATCTCTTCACAGGTGTTGGGTCATCTGAAGTCTTTGTTAGTGGCTGGATATAGTCAGCAGGAGCAATCTAAATATAGCTATAGGTTACAACTACAAAATGTGATGTAATCATACTTGGGAATTTGAACTTCACTTTCACAAAGACACAAAGAACAGGGAAAGACTTGCAAAACCCAGTGATCTGAGACTCATTGCGATAGTGACGTCTCATTACAGGGAGTCTTCAGGTGGTTCTTGTTCTGAAAGCAAGATAGAGGAGGAGGAAAACACAGGAGAAATGGTTAAGGGTCTGCATTACTTACTATTGGAGAAAGTGTTACGGTCAACTTGGATCACGTGTGCCTTAATAACCACATTACAGCCTTGACGTCATTGAATTTCAGGCAGACGGTGTGTTTCAAACGGGAAATATCGCCCTCTGAAGAGCACTTCGGAGTGTGCCACTTCAAAGGGCCCTTCGGAATAAAGGATTTCGTTGGGTACAACTGATGGAGACTTCAGGCCCCCATGATCCTTTGCACATGGAAGTTGTTTGGCGTCGCAGAGTTCGACTTCACAGAAAAATGTACGCATAGTATTTTTCTATACTACAGTAATATTTATATGAGTTAGATTTGGTACATTATTCTGGTCAAAACGACATTGTGCTTCAACAAAAATACTTCACAGCTACCTTTATCAGTCCATTCAAATGTTTCAAATATATAGACACAATATACATTACATAGGGTGATCATATTTTAGTTTTCCAAAAAGAGGACAGTGGGGGCGGGGGGTGGGGAGCTGGGGTGTGATTGGTTGGTGGTTAAAGTAGTGCCCAGAGTAGTGCAATGACCATATCTCAAATATCAAAACTCAAAATATGTCATTTTCATTCCTAAAACACACATTTTATAGTCACTGTTGTTCATATTGATCATAAACACAGCTAAAAAGCTTCCAGTGGCCCTCCTTAACAAAACTTAAAAGCACAGTTTTATCATAGGTAGAATGCAAAATGTTTCAATACAAGCATTCAATACAAGTCAAATGTAATGTATGCAATATTTCAAACCTTTAACCCATGGGGGAAAATCAACCCATGGCAACAGATTAAAAGTAGCCCAATTCCATCAGGAAAAAAAAAGTGGACTTGACAACCCTACATTCCAAAAAGGGTCGCCGTGATTTTGCCAAGTAAGACATGTTCCTGGATCAACATCTTTTGTTGATCCTGGATTGACATTACTGTCCAAAAACATAGACCTAACTCAATCCCTACCCTTAATTTATTCCTAAAATCAGAGGGAAATGATAGGTGAATAACAAGGGTGTAGAAGCATTTAACCCTGATTGTAAGCCTAAAACTGACTTTTCTAGAAAATGTATCCCTCAATTCTGATTGGTTGATTGGATGTTGATCTGATTGATAGACACAAGGATGTTGATCCAGGAACATGCTGTACTTGGTGAAATCGCGGTCACCATCCAGCACGAGCTGCAGGAGTCAGATTTCACTGATCACGGGTTGAGAGGAGAGATGGCTGACCTGACAAGACCATGCTGGAGGATTTGCTGATCAGCAGATCTTGAGCTCATTGACAAATTTCTGATCTTTCTTTACACAGAGCGCGCGTGATTGCTAAATCGAAAGTGAAAGTGAACAGCGAGCGCTCATTCAAAAGAGATTTCAATGCTCCGCAAACTGATAGCGGCTCCCTGATGCACGAAAATTATATGTAATGTTAGAATGTTTGCGGGACTGGACACAAGAATCACGGAAGCGGGCGATAATGGTCAGAAATTCAGTGGGAGCAGGATTAAGAAAACAGTCCCTCGCAGGGCTTTAATACAATAACACACGATGAATGGCGACGGTAGAAAGCAAGAGCCATATCCCGGACATTTTGGGAAATTTAGAAATCCCAGCTGGACACATTTTTTTAGGTCCGAAAAGAGTACATGTCCAGGAAAAACAGAACATCAACAGAACATCAACAGAAACCTGAGGATGGCAGATGCTGGACCGTACGGCTGTAGAGCTGGACGGGAAGACTATAAACACATCCAGCTGAATATGATCAGAGGCAGGTCCGTGCACAGGGGGGTGGCCCTGTGGCTAGAGCCACTGCCCCTTTGCCCTCATCGGCTGAGTTGCCCCTCTCACCAATCCCCCCATCACCCCTGCTCAAAGCGGTCTGTTCCCGCTCCGCTAAAGATCCGCTGATTCCGCTAATCCACTCCATGTTTTCCCGCCCGCTCCACAGCATCATTCTCAATCTGTGCCCGCTCTCTGGAGTGGAGACCACAGTTCCCAATGTCGTTGCATTAACAGGTAGATGCATTACAATCCACATTATAGTCAGTGGATGATTCGCTGAATTAGTAATTTGGTAGTTTGTTTTTGTATTTCTGTCGATAATTTGCTCTCAGTCTTTTAAAAGTGATAACAACAAAATATCCACGGTCTTAGAATTAGAATGTCTAATCAAATTATTGTACCCGATCAGATCTAATATAAATAACACAAAATTTGCTGTTGTTGGCACACTTTGTAGACAAAAAAATAAATAAATAAATGCCTTCGCAAAAAAGAAGACAGAGACAGAGAGAGAAAGAGCGAAGGGAGGATGCTAAAGGCAGTTCAACGTTGTAACATAAATACAAAGCTCCAGCAAGCCAGCAGCTAAATCATCATGTAGAATATTTAGCAGTTTGTCACACTTAAATGTTTGTAATTAAGTATATTTCCCATCATAATCACTTGTCTTGACACTAGTAATCTATGACACATCATATTTTATTAAAACCATATTAATAGTAGGCCTATAAATGGTTAAAAAATAATAAAAAAAATTCTAAATGAGTTGTTTATTCATATATAATATAGATTTATGCTGTAAAATATTAAATTAAATGTCTAATACTTATAGGGGAGAGTGGGGTAAGATTGGTCATTTTTTACTTATGTGGTCCTCAAGATAAGTTGAAATGATGCAGAAGTACAATGAAAGTACCTATCCTAGCCTATCCTAATGAAAGTATTCCTATCATTTTAAATTATCAGAATGTATCTATGACAAAGGGTTCTAAAAATATGGCTTCTTATAATAAAAGTGTTCCCATGGCTCAGTTTGCCCTGGGTTAGGGGTAAGTTGACCCGAGTCGAGTCAGGTGGTAAGATGCACCATCTGGATGTAAAATGACCATCTGACCAAATCTGATTCAAACCCATGTGAAATAAGTAATAATTAAAAAACGAATTTAATAATTTCCTTTTACAAACAGTGATATTTATTTTCATGAAGTTAACTTTAACAACATAAAACCAACCAAATGAAGATTACATTTAAATATTTAATTGTTTGCATTTCTGAAACAATATGTTGACCACTAAAGTTGTAGCCTTCCTAAAAACAGACTAAACAGAGGACATTAGGGACTACAGGTGGAAAGATATATCTGATTATAATGCGAAGAAAAGCATTTTCTGATTCTTATCAGAGAAGGATTTGGTGCACTTGTACACTGTCCCTATCAAATATACTACAACATATGTATATATGATCAACCAAACCAGTAATATATCACATTAAAATACCAGTTTATAATTCAGAGATTTAACTTAAGTGCCTTATGGTGGGGTTAGTTAAAATGCTGACTCAATTTACCCCACAGCATTTGGCTCACTTTGCCCCATAGCTGCCATTTTGGAAAACAAATAGCTACTGTTGCTTACCAATTCAGGCTAATATTTAGCTAAATGATTTGCATTGTTTTATATGTTGCTAAATCACCTATATGTATCATAAATATTTTTAGACCTGGATAAATTTGCTTTGATGTAACAACCATTACATCTGTTATGCTAAAATTTTACTTTAACAAGCAAAAATCAGTTTTTAAAGTAAATGGGTGCCTTCCGTTCCCCCCATGTGTTTCTCCTTTTCACAGTCTGGCAGAAATGTTTACCCCACAGCATTTGGCTCACTTTGCCCCATAGCTGCCATTTTGGAAAACAAATAGCTACTGTTGCTTACCAATTCAGGCTAATATTTAGCTAAATGATTTGCATTGTTTTATATGTTGCTAAATCACCTATATGTATCATAAATATTTTTAGACCTGGATAAATTTGCTTTGATGTAACAACCATTACATCTGTTATGCTAAAATTTTACTTTAACAAGCAAAAATCAGTTTTTAAAGTAAATGGGTGCCTTCCGTTCCCCCCATGTGTTTCTCCTTTTCACAGTGTGGCAGAAATGATGGGTGGTTCCAAAAAACATGGTCACATGACAGTAAAAGTGTACAGTTGCCAAGAAACGGGGGGTGGGTCCACTTACCCACTGGCTCAACTTACCCCACTCTCCCCTACTTCCATTGAAGATGAGGCAGAAGCAGGCTGAAATTATTACAGAGTGTGCTGTCTTTTCTTTTAATTGTATATTTGTAACAACTGGATCATTTGTATTAACAAGCATCCACCCCCCTAGTGCCCCTTTTTTGGTTTGGGCCACTGCCCCTCAAAATGTCTGTGCACGGCCCTGATCAGAGGTGAATGATATTCAGTACTGAACAACAGTCTGTTTCATCCACTATGTTAATTTTAATGCTGTAGTTAATGATTGTTTTATAAATATATTTATTTTATTTGAAAGTTTTTTCTCAGCACCACAGAAAACAAGACCAGTCCAGATCTCAACATCCTCCCTCCATCCAGGTACCAGATATGTAATATTACATTTCCAGTGTCTCTTGTCATAAATCCATTATTATATGCATTACTGTGTCAGTATAACAGCTCAGTCTGTATTTGCTTTCAGATCAAACTATCAGCTCATTTTCAAGCACGCCACCCTATTTGAGCACATCAGCCATGAATTCACCATCCAGCATCATTACAATCACAGATCATTTGAAAGATCATCTCCTCAACAGGTCAGATCATATTCTGCCCTTTCATATTTCTTTAATATGCACTGTTATTTACTCCAGGCGTCTTCTCCTGACACACACCTCTGCACATCTCACTGCACTATATTTATCTCACATGACTTAAACTTAATGTAACACTGAGCATCTTTCTCCATTGATGACCATTCAAGAGTAGCTGTATAGTCTGATAAATCCTTGCAAGCAACATTTAATGGAGGCTCCTAAAGCAGCTGCCATTGCGATGCTAATAATAATGGTTAGCTTTATGAAAATATTACTAAGGCCTTTTTGCTTCAGTTAAACATCAGATGTCCGCAGCAGTTACTTACCAAACAGGAAGTTCAACCACAGCCACAGGAAGAGCTGTGAGGCTTCAGCTAAACACAGCCTACACTTCCCACAATGCAACTCTTCTCCCAGGGCTGATATGATGCAGAAAGTGTGACTTTAATGTTCAAGCAATACTCTGGATTATTTACAGTCTTTGTAAACTACAGCATCTTTGCTGTGCTGCCAATTACCACAGAAAATAACCAGCAAGCATTTGTCATTCGCCTCAACGCTTGTTTTTTTGTTTTTTTTATGCGAATAATGAGCTGAAAGTATTTCTGTGATGATAGAACTAATTTTGATCATTAACATTATTTCCTGTGATTATGGCAAGGATTATTTTCTTTGAAATATTTGACATGTAGTTAACATGTTTTGAAATATAAATAAGGTAAATATAAAATATAATATAAACAGTGAAGCTCAATTATATACGTAACGCCTCAACATCACATGGAAACACAGACACACAGTCCGTCAGCGCTAGTGTTTTACTCTCATCACGTGAGATGAGCAACAAACTTAATGTTTTACTCTACACCAATAGAGGAGAGCAGCATTAGCAGCATTACTGGAGATTTGAGTCTAAGAAAGTCATTTGAGGAACTGCTGAGAATATCGTGCTGATTTTCTGAACTCAACCCATGAAGAAATGAAGTTTCTACTGACAGATTATGTATTTCTGCTGATGGGTAAGTGCTCAAAGATAGTACAGGTGTTTATTTTCTATAAATATGGCTTATTTTGGCAGTGAATATGAGTAAAGCAGTGTGCTGATGTGTGTGTGTGTGTGTGTGTGTGTGTGTGTGTGTGTGTGTGTGTGTGTGCACGCAGTGAGCAGTTCAGTGTGTGTGGACATTACAGTGAAAGGAACAGAAGGAGAACAAGCGACCATTAAGTGTCCTTATGCTAAAGGATATGAAAAATCCTACAAATACTTCCAGAAAGGAATTTACAAAGATAATAATATTATACTAACATCTGATGGAGGAGAGTCATCCGTGTTTGATGGCAGATTCTCACTGCGTGATGATCATCAGATGAGAATATTTACAGTGACCATCAGAAACCTGAGGATGGCAGATGCTGGACCGTACGGCTGTAGAGCTGGACGAGAATACTATAAACAAATCCAGCTGGATGTGATCAGAGGTGAATGATATTCAGTACTGAACGACAGTCTGTTTCATCCACTATGCTTAGTTTTCATGCTGTATTTAATAGTTGTTTTATTAATGTATATGTTTGATTTAAACAATGTGAGCTTGTTTCTCAGCTCCACAGAAAACAAGACCGGTCCAGATATCAACCAGCGCTATTCGCCCGTATACAAACACCAACACTGACCACACCGGCACAGGTTCCTGAACACACACAATCACTGACTTCAGCCTCAGACACCTTTACGCACATGCATTCTTGTAAAACTACTGCTAATGTGAAGTCACTGTGTTTACATACACAATTTAAGTCATAATTTCAATCAAAGCATTAATAGTTAGCCTGATTCTCCTGAGCCTCAGTACACATTGTAATGCTGCATTCATGATAGTAGTGCAATTACCGTAATTAATATTTTTCAACTAGTTCTGACTAGACAGTTCATGTCTCAAACTTGCACAAACTTTAGAAGTTTCATCAACACCTCAACATCTATAAAAAATAAACCAATATGGCAGGTGGCCTCAAATGTCAAATAACTGAATGTTTGATATGTCATTTTATTACAACCAGTGCTTCCTGCAGCCATTTCTTGGTTCTACAGCTTATGAGACTGCATGTGAAGGGCTCAGAGTAAAATAATTTCGTAATTAAATAATTTCAACATGAGCGCAGCATTTATTTACATGGGTTTTCCATGATGTCTTAACATTTGCATTCATGCATCTGACAGACACTTTTATCCAAAGTATCAGTTCATTTTTAATTGTGAGCAGCACGTTCACATTTCACTTTTTTTTTCTCTCTGCCAGTGACTCCTCAGACACAAAGTGAAACGACAAAATCAATGACAGGAAATACTGCAGTTCAACTCGATCAGCCAAACGCTAGTAAGCACACAAACTACACTACCCACAATGCAACTGTCCCCTATTTGATTATGTAATATATATTGGAGAAAAGCGATTGCTTTGAACATTTGTAGAGACACATTTGAACTCTTGTGGCTCACGATGAACATGATCAAAGTGAAGCACACTTTAGATTTCATGTGGTTACCCTGCTTTCACATCAGCCGTAGACAGAAGCGCTTTCCTCTGAAGAGTCGAGGTTTACCGTTGCGGTTTCACTTTGGTTACACGATATAATGATACATTTCCAATATTATATAATACAGATCTGGCTTCTGTCGCCGGCGGTCTGGGTTCGGTTCTGCTGGTTCTGGTTCTGTGTTCTGGAACGTTCCTCATCCTGAAAAAGAGGAAAAGGAAATCTGGGACAGGTAACAGTTTATGTGTGATTATAAAGTCCTTTTTTAGTATTTGCTTTGATTTGACTTTGTCTTTTCTTTCTTGTCATGCTCCATTCAGCTTTATTTCAGCAAAATGTGCCACACAACACGGAGGTGGGTGATCAAATCTTTACCTGTAGAGGTTCAGAAATACGTTACATTGCTGTTTATTAATGAGCAGTGAATACCACCATCAAACGAGTAAATATTCTTGTGTATGTTGTTTTTAGGCTGACCGTATGTATGAGGAGATCCTAAACAGTGATGTTGTTGCTGCAGCATCTTCGTCCAATCAGACGCCTGCATCACATCTCAACACCCGCCCACAAGTCTCTACTGTTTATGCCACAGTAACCAATCAGAAGCCTGATTCAAATCCCCGTCACACCCACTCGACCAATCAGGTGACGGATACAGACTGTGATTATTATGCCAATATTAAGTCTCCTGAACCAACAACAGACAGCAGAATAGAACTGATCTACGCAACAGCGACACATCCGCAAAACATCAAGACAAACGAAGGCCCGATATATTCAACGATCAATCATAAATAAAAAAGACTGTCAAAACTTCTTCCACACAAGACGTGAAAAAAAAAGAAAAAAAAAATGGTACAAGCTGCATATTTTTAATGAATCAATATTTTGACACACTTCTCTGAGTATTTTGTAAACTGCATAATGTTACTAACAAGAAAAGTTACAAAAAAAAAAAAAGAATGTGAACTGAAGTATTCTTTGTAATCAGTACACCTCATCTACAGTTCAATAAACCCGGCGGGCACCTTGATATCAATTTGACGTCAAATATTAGTCAAGACTTGATCAAGATGCTGTAACATCATTTTAAATTCAGTTTGGACGGAATTTTCTTCCAGTGGTGATTGGGTGAAAATAGGAAGTTAATCCACAGTGAAATTAGTTTAATGTATACCTAGATAGCACAGGTACGTCTGCAAGATGTCTGTTAAAGATCGCTTCATCTGGAAAGCATCTGCTGTGCACAAACATCTGATAGACGTCTTTAAGATGTCAGTTTTACATACACTCTAAATCATAAACATCTTAAAGACATCTTCTAAACGTCTGTTTGACATCTGATAAGAAACGTCCTATAGACGTATTGCAGATGAGCAAACACTCTAAAAAATACATCTTGCAGACCTCAAATAGACGTCTCTGTGATGTATGTGTGCTGTCAGGGTATGTAGTCCAATATGTCTGACATTCAATTTACATTAAATCAATGTCATGTCAAGTTTTTGACGTCAGTTTGATTTGCATATTTGACCAGTTTTTTTTTACGTCAGTTTTGATGTCTTTTCAACATCAAAAGCCCACTGGGAAGCCAAGTGTAAATTAGTATTGTGTTTACCCTAAGCATGCTGTTTGGAGAGCTGTGCTAAATCACGCCCTCTACAGGTTGGTATCCTACTGGTTTCAAATGAGTGAGTAAATGATGACAGAATTGTCATTTTGGGTGGATTTCTACCATTAATATATTATAATCTATTAGTACTTGGAGATTGGTGATTCGCAATCAGGCTTATGTGGAAATATTTTGATGTAAAAAAAACAAACAAAAAAACAAACCTTAAAATATAATAATAATAATAATAGTAATAGGAGAAAATATGTAACATAAATAAATGTGCATTTAGTGTGACCTTAATTATAAGTGTACCTGATATTCAGAATAATTAAAAAAAGATATACTGAAAAAAAAAAAAAAGATTAAAGAAAGAATGACACAAGATGCTCACACCAATTTTATTAGGTCACAGATACATTTGTAGTGGTTTGTTTCAGGCATAGTTGTATACAAACTGTACTATTCCCCAATGACAACTAAGTAGGCTAATCAAAGCAAGCTATTAAAAATAAAGCCCCACAAATAAAATATATAAAAAGCTAAACACACTAAAGAGTAAAAACTATATTAGGTAAGATAGGTTATTAGTTTATTGATTGTTTTGCTGTGTGCCTGTAATCAATCAAGCAAAACAGCTTACAGACGATTTATCATATTACACCAACTGCATTGTTTTGGCACTGTTGCAGTTAATGCTAATTAATGCGTAACATTGACACTTCATTACCTGTTCAAAATAATCCATTAAACAAGTAGCGATTTGAGGAGTGTGCACTAATATTTTCAGTTCCATTCGTTTGCGCTTTGTTTCAAGGACACGCCCACAACCGAGGAACTAATGACTATTCACGTAAACTCCATCCACGGGAACAGTTTTTCACAGGAACCGAATAGGGCCTATTACACAACACCGGTGTCTCTGTGAACATGTCATGTAGAGCTGGATGAGGTAAGAGAGACAGAAAGGGGAAGGAAATTATGGTGCTGCATTTTTTTCTCTCAGAGCAAAAGAGAAAGACTGTAACGGTTGTCACACAGAATTTGGACTCTTATTTAAGTAAAATGTTCAGCATGTGTGTCGTTCTGCTCGTCTGTTCCAGCATCTGTACAGGTGAGTTTAAGACTCAGGGCTTTTGTGCAGAGTTTGACTTGTTCCCTTGTTTTTACTCTGTTATTACATGACCTTCAGTCTCAAATGGATGATACTTGTAAATTATTGTTTTGGTCTGATAATATCTCTTGCTCACACATAACAGCTCTGTATAATGATATTTCTGTTTTCAGTTGTTGCAGGTGCTCATGTAGTCACAGGACACAGAGGAGGGAGAGCAAACATCAGATGCCCATATGAATCTGGATATGAATCAAATCCAAAGTATTTTTGTAAAGGCGAGTGTAAATTTGGAAATAAAGTCATCATGGTTAAATCAGGATCTCCAGCTAAAGACCAGAGATTCTCTCTGAGTGATGACATGACGGCCAGAGTTTTCACCGTCACCATCACTGATCTGAGAACTGAGGATGCAGGACAATACTGGTGTGCTGTGGAGAGGACTTTACCTGATGTCTATTCAGAGATTTTGTTGCTAGTTAAACAGGGTAAGCGATTAATTGTATTAGATGGTAATAAAAAATGCGAGTGACCAAGTCATTAAATCTTGTAAGTTAACTCATATTGTACTGTTGAGTTGATTGTGTGTTTAGACTTTAGTGTGTTTAGTATAAAATACATCAAGTCAGAGATTTCATGAAAGATTATATGAATTTTAAATGAAAATCAGTGTGAATTCATCTGAATAAATGACTTTAAGTTGATCTTTCCTGTCATCCATCAGTTAATAAGACCACTGAGGTTTCAACTATCAGTCCTTTTTCAACCACACCATCATTTTTCAGCAAAACAGAACCAAATCCACAATCTACCAGCATCACAGATCAGCACACATCAACAAGTCAGTTCATCTGTCTGTCACTCTATATGACTCTTAGTTATTGAATATTTGAATATCGTGCTTCTAGATGTACTTGAATACATTTATTAGATGATTGCTTTTAGATTAAATGTCAATGTCTTACTGTACTGAGATCTACATCTGTGTTGAAGACTGTAGGTTCAGTCCCCTTGTTGTTATAATCTGCTTTAATTTGCTTTGGATAAGAACGTGTCTTCAATAGAAATTATAAATTGAAAATGTTCATATTCACAAAATTATAGGAGGGGTTTGTGTGTGTACATGTAGTGCTTCGTTTGTATTTGTTCATGTTCTTACCGCGTGAGCAGCACACACATTTCACTGGTGTTTTTCTCTTGGTGTCATTGACTCATCAAAAAGAGTGCGAAACAACAAGAACAGGAAATACTACAGTTTAACTCGATCAGCCAAACACTAGTAAGCACATAGACTACACTACCCATGATGCACCGGGGCCCTCACTGATTACATAGAACATGGGCGTCGAACCATTGTATGTGGGTCAAGACCATTTCTTAAGACCAATGATACTGGACCCACTCACTTTCACCGTCTCTAATTGAGCACATATGTTTGTCCACTTTTCAGAGCGCCATAAGTCAAACCCATTCCACTTGATGAATGCCCAAATAAATTAAACTCCATTCTGCGATTTAGCTACAGCCTTGACTTCCACACTGCTGCTTCCTCAAATCCATTCCGCTTAGCTCCAGAGTCCATATATTGTATATATGGATATTGAATATTGTAGAAACTTAATTCGCTGTAAAGTTGCTTTGCAACTATTTGTATCGTGAAAAGCGCTATACAAATAAACTTGAATTGAATTTCATTTAATATAAATTAAACTCCATTCCGTGTTTTCACTGCTCGCGTCTGCTGCAAGCTAAACAAACTTGCAGTTCGCCTCTTGCCAATTTAGCAATTGGTTTGAACATTTGTAGAGACACATTTGAACTCTTGTGGCCCACGATGAACATGATCAAAGTGAAGCACACTTTAGATTTCATGTGGTTACCCTGCTTTCACATCAGCCGTAGACAGAAGCGCTTTCCTCTGAAGAGTCGAGGTTTACCGTTGCGGTTTCACTTTGGTTACACGATATAATGATACATTTCCAATATTATATAATACAGATCTGGCTTCTGTCGCCGGCGGTCTGGGTTCGGTTCTGCTGGTTCTGGTTCTGTGTTCTGGAACGTTCCTCATCCTGAAAAAGAGGAAAAGGAAATCTGGGACAGGTAACCGTTTATGTGTGATTACAAAGTCCTTTTTTAGTATTTGCTTTGATTTGACTTTGTCTTCTCTCTCTTTTCATGCTCCATTCAGCTTTATTTCAGCAAAATGTGCAGCACAACACGGAGGTGTTTGATCAAATCTTTACCTGTAGAGGTTCAGAAATGATTGTTCATTGATGAACATTCAGTATTATCTATATAAATGATTACATTTTTGATGTCTATGTTGTTTTTCAGAGTGTCCACATGGATGAGATTGCAAACAGTGACCCTGGACCCTCTGATGTCATCGCTGCAGCATCTTCATCCAATCAGACGCCTGCATCACACCTCAACACCCGCCCACAAGTCTCTACTGTTTATGCCACAGTAACCAATCAGAAGCCTGATTCAAATCCCCGTCACACCCACTCGACCAATCCGGTGATGGATACAGACTGGGATTATTATGTCAATATTAAGTCTCCTGAACCAACAACAGACAGCAGGACAGAAGTGATCTACGCAACAGCGACACATTCGCAAAACATCACACCACATCCTCAAAATGTCACGACAAATGACGGCCCGATATATTCAGTGATCAAACATAAATAAAAAAAGGCTGTTAAAACGTCTTCCACAGACTTTTCCACTGGTGTTACAATTGGGAAAAAATACAATACAATTGGTACAAGCTACATATTGTAATGCATCTATTTTCTGACACATATTTATGAATTTGCCTGAACCAACAACAGACAGCAGGACAGAAGTAGATACGCAACAGCGACACATCCTCAAAATGTCACGACAATCGAGACTATGATATATTCAGTGATAAAACATGAATAAAAAGGACTGTCAAAATTTGTTCAAGTAAAAAAAAAAAAAAAGTTTTTGACATTTCTGTACATAACAGAGTGTAACTAAAGTGTACAATGTATAACGTTAATAGGGTA